AGGAGCGTCCTTCTACTCCGCCATCTTGCGTCTTCTTCCCCCTCCTAACTTCTAATCTAGGAAATAAACTGTGATGAGTGTCCCGGGGACAGGAAAATGGAACTAAGGCACAGAGAGGCTACATAATTTGCCCAAGGAGAACAGCTTCAGCTCCCAACAATGTGTGTCACGTCCCTCTGTTTAACTCTTAAGCTAAACTATTTAATGTTTAATAGATTATGGTTATAAACAGATGAGGTATCAAGGTACATACAAGGACACACATCAACTCTAAGATGTTCATTAACCCCACTATTTTGCTTCTATTTATTTTATTTCTATTAAAAGAATTAAGAACCTCTGCAGTCGATATAGCAATATGTTAATGGGTTTTAAATCCAGAATATAGATGCGTAAGTGTATTACTCACACTTTTTTGTATATTCACAAGACAAAATGATTTGCAGGTCTCTCTCCCCACCTCCCTACTCACTACAGGTTCTCACCTGAGCTCCCAGACCACACATCGAACAGCCTTTCACTTTACCCACAGCTGAACTCATCAGTTTTTCACCGGAAATCCCTCTGCCGCTTTCTCTCCTCAGAGCACAGCAGGACCATCATTTACCTTATTAATCCACCCAGAAACCCTGGCCTTACTCCATCCTACCTTCACAGACAGCATTTATCCTTTCCTTTTTACCATCTATCATGTCTTCAATCTGTTTGCTTTTTCCCACTGACCGTCCCACCGCTCAGGTGGAAGCCACCAATACTGCCCACATGGACTCAGGAGTCTCCCAGTGGCCCCCCAGCCACTCTTCCCTACTTGAGACAAATGGGATTCTGTCACTCCCGTGCTTTTAAGACTCTTTTCAAACCCACTGTTCTTAGAAGAAACTCCAAGTTCTTCACCTGGTGAAGGTCTTTGCCATGAAACTATCAGCTCAGGGAGGGCAGGACCCGCCCTCTCCCCTCGGCCCCGCCCTCTGGTACAGCGCCAGCTCCGGAGGACCTGCTGAGCTACACCAGCCTGTATTCTAAACCTGGTCTTGAGTTCTTAGCAAACTGTTTCGCTTATCCATAGAAATCCATGGTAGATTAGAAAGATTTTAGATATTTAGCCAGACTTTTGATTTGGGGATTTTGCACTAGCAACCTGCAAGTACCTGTTCTAATAGTTCTGTCTTCTTAAAACCACACACAGATTTAACTAGTATCTGTGGAATGCCTTAGGAATAAAAGGAAATGTACTTTCACAGACTTTATGTTTTATAATATGAACAACCTGGACAGGATTACAAACGGAACTGCCTAACAAGTGACAGAAGAGGGTTAGAGGCATAAAGCAATAGGTCGCAAGGAAGGTAAAAGCAAAGCTATTTCTCCAAATCCCCCCGAAATTCTTGAAAGAATTGAAAATTCTGAATTTTAAAGTAAAAGACTATCATATAAAGAAATAAAATAATCCTCTTCATCAGGGTTTCAAAATCTGACTCCAGAATTTTTAGCATGCCATACTGAATACTAGCACAGAAAACTCAGATGGACTAGTGACGAGTAAGTTCCAGGATAACGGCAGTAATTCCTCCACTTGTAAGGGTACACACACTCACTTGTAGAAGGTGATTGTAAACCACATTCTGGAGAAATTCAGAAGATTCAGGCTTTGCTTCTAGATGGTGAGGACACGGAAGGACGGCTTGGATGCATGCTTCTGAGTCACCGGCATTCTTACACTGCAGCGGGAAAAGGAGGCCCCCAGTCAAGAGCAGAGATTTTCCTGTCGTGTCTCGCAGGCCGTGCCTCGGGGACTCAGTGCCCAACAGCAGCACGGCCCCAGGCGAGGACCCGCAGCGTAGCCCACCCAAGCAGGAGGGGCATTGTGCTTGAGAAAACCCACCCCTGATGGGGGCAAGAGGGGCTGGTGGGGTTGTGTGAACCTATAAATTCCCATAGAAATACACCTGCATTCATTCAAGTGATACAACCAACAGTAGCAGGATATTTTACAAAATTTCTATTGTCAGTGGAAATTTTACCATTTCTTTCCGTTTGTCCCCTGCACTCTTAGACAAGCTTGTGCTCTCTCACACCTGCAGCTCTGATGCAATAGTTGTGAAGTCATTTTACTTTGCTGCGATAGTCCTCGCTCCTCGTGTCACTGTATCTGTCCTGTCTTAACACAGTCAGATGTCTTCCTGGATCTCTCCCTGAGTTCCTTGCTCCTGCTCCTCAGATCCTGAGATAAAGGGAAAGTGAAGACACATGACCAGAAAAGGAACAGTGGACTTGACCAAAGTCCTCAGTGAACCCCTAGGTGAGTGCTGCCCACCCCTTACCTTCGATTCTCAAGGTACTTCCCAGGGTGACATCCAGACAGGAGATCGTCCTGGGCCAATTAAAAGCTGTGTGGCTTGGGCGCGGGGACAGGTGCAGGAGCTAGTTCCGGAGCCGGGCCCCTCCCCACCTCTGCTCCCCTCTCTCCCTAGGCCCCGCTGCCAAGCCCCCAGGCACACTGATCTTCTGTCCTTCTCATCTACTCTACTCAAGCCCTTTTCCTCTTCCTTTATTCCCTAATTATCCCCAGCTGGAGTGATTTTTCAATCACAGTATCTGAAAAAATTTCCTGCAGCCGAAAAAGAGGTCTCCAGATGTAAATGCCCATATGCTGGTTCCTGAATAGAGCCCCAGGCTGGAGGGACACTCACCAACACTCCTGGGGGCATTAGACATGTTGTGGGGTCAACCACCCTCAACAAGAATTTGCTGAGATCCCAAGGCCCGCACAGCATCCCTGCTGACAAAAATGTAGTCAGCCCACTTATTGGTTATTAAGAAGCAAAAATACAAAATTGCTTATATTTCTTACTAAAATTATTTATGAGATGGAAAAAGAAATTGTAATAGGAAAGAAATCTGACTCCGTGTTAGATGTGTTCCTTGGGCTTTAAACCTGTGCCCTGTTTTCTAGGCTCAGACTTGCTAGCTCTGCATCTTTTGTGAAAGAAAGTTGCCTTTAGCCTGAAATATACAGGAGAGCCTATTCTCCGGGCTCTGATCTTTAAGGATGTTAGCTCTTCTGCACTTAAGTAGAGAATTTCAAGTTGCAAAATAGAGAATAACCTTTGTTTTGTTGGAGGTTTTACAGGGGCACCATGATTTGACCCACATGGACTGCTGCAAGAACAATGGATACCAAGGACAAACAATTCGTACAGCAAGAAGTTTGCAACAACCAACCACACCCCCTCCCCTTTTCAGTATATAATGAGCCTGAATTCTGACTTGGGGAAGAGGGTTCTCCAGGACATCAGTCTGCCATCTTCTGGGTCTACCAGCTTTTCAAATAAAGTCACTATTCCTTGCCCCAACACCTCACCTCCCAATTTATTGGCCTGTCATGTGGCAAGCGGAACGAGTTTGGACTCGGTAACAAAATACATTGGAGGTAGTATGTCTCCACTTTTTCCTCATTTCCAATATGTAGCATGCACATCATTTATGATCTAGTGCAAATAATTCATCAAAGACAAGAATAACAAGAAACTCACCTAGCTATCAACACTGAAGTCACAACATATTAATTTTACATGCCGTTTAACAAAAAACCCAAAAAACTTAATATAGAGACATGATTCCATGGAAATAAAATTATTTCTAGTCCTTCAAAACTTTTTATCTTTGTTTTCTATTTTCTTTTGTTCTGCTTATTGAAAGGAAAATATAAATCAAATCATTAATTTCACATATTTTTGTTATAACTACATATTTTAAATACTACAAAGAGATTTATATTGCAATAAAAAAAATTTTTATATAATATATATATATATATATATATATATATATATATATATATATATATACAATCAATGGGGATTTGGAAAAGAATGGACATTTACTAAAAATCCACTGCACATCCAGTCTTTAACAAGCATATCCTGAAATATAAGCTCTATGATCCTGTGGTCCCCACCCCCATTCTCATTGCCAACTCCCTTAGTAATCAACTACCAAGGCACCAGCACAGAACCACGCAATCAGTATTTTAGGTATAAATGAGGGAATTAGCTCATTCAATTCTAAAACAAAAACCTTAAGATAAATACAGAACTTATTTACAGATAAAGAAAATTGGACACAAAAAAGTAAACTATCTTCCTCAAGGTCACAAAGCTAGTAACTGGTAAAGGCAAGATTTGAACTCGTCTACCTGATTCTAAAAACTAAGGTGGAAATCCCATTCCACTTGTGATGGTCCAGCAGCACAGCCTATCACCGTATCTTTGTTCAGATCTAGCCTTAGCCTGAGACAGCACCCCATTCCTATGAAACTCGAGGGCAAATGATAACAATAAGGATTTTATATCCAGTAGTTTTCTTAGGTCTCATTTACATAAAGTGTCAGCAGGTCAGCAGAAAAACTCTGGGAAATGTGAGTGGGTCCAGAGCTTTTTGCTGATAAGAAACTCAATCTATCAGGACAGAGTGACCTTCCCATGAGAGGCCACCTGGTCCTAAACTAAAGGCAGCTGAGCAATGAAAACTAGCAAGACCCTGGAATTCAAGAAAGAAGGATCCCTGCCATACTGCAACCAGTTGCCTCTTCATCCGCATGGATATGAGGGCAGAAGACCCAGGTTCTTGTCCAAGTTACACTTTCATGGATTCTCACCCATAAAAAGTTATGACTCTATGCTGTCTTAAGTCCTTTCCAACTCAAATATGGTGACAACGATGTCTCAGTAGAATCTCTATGTCTCCACTTCCTCTCTTCTAATAGGAGAATAATTCTATGGCCACAGAGAAATCCAATAAAAAAACATGCATGAAGCCAGGAGAGAGTCTGCTTAAGAGACTTTGCTCTCACTCTCAGTGAATGAAAACTCAGCAAAAGTGGTCCTTCTCCCTCAGCAAGTGGGAGGTAGCCTGATGTGTGTGTGTGTGTGTGTGTGTGTGTGTAAATCAAATACAGTAAAGTCTGGGATGTGAACAGATTTTTTTATGTCACTGTCATTTCAAGTGGATGAGCCAACCTTTAAAGTAATTTGAATCTAGTGTTCTCAGAGAGTCTCAGGCTCTTTTGCTGGAGGAAGGGAAAGGAAAGGAGGAAAGAGGTAAATGAAGCAAAAGAGAAAGAATACTGCTAGGGAAAGGCAAAACATTAATTTTGTTCCTACTTGCATCACACACAAATTGGGAACTGGCTTTCCCCCTGTGTCTTGACGAGCACTGAGTTGCAGAAGAAGTTACAGCCTATTTCTCACGGAGCTTGTGACTGTACGTGGCATCTTATAGACACAAATTATTTACCCTGAACAAACACTCTAGCAGCAGGCTGTAATTCTTCTGTTTTGAGAGACAAGAAAACAGGAGTTCAAAGAGTGTATATAACTTGACAAAAGTCAGAGGACCAGTAGAAAAGAGAGGATGAATTCAAACTCAGATCTGAATGCAGAGTCTGATCTTCCCACTCCCAGGACAGGAAAATCCTTAACACACAGGATTCCCAGCTCCCCTGCAGTGTACCTGGCACCAAGCATTTCCCATGGCAGTGGTCTCCAGTTCTCACAGACACAGCACTGTGTGCAGCCAATGACCTTCATCGGACCTTGATCATCTATCTGCCACGCCCACCAGGCTTCTCCATAAAGGCAGGAAAGCTGGCTTTCAAGTGCATACAAAGCCACCCCTTGTCTATCCTGGGTTCTTCTGGGGCTTCTCCAGCCTAAAGGCAGCCATGAATCTTCTCACAGTTTGTACATGAGCCACACTATCTCTCCCCATTTGTCTCCCCACCTATGCTACTTAGCTATGACCATTTTGATAATCTTGGAAACAAATTTTTAAAAACAGAATAGAAAGGATTCTGGAACATGTACTTAATACTTCCAATTTTAAATGGCAAGTTACAAAGTGAGTATTTACAAACTGAATCTGCCATTCTAGGTGTCAGTTTTAAGCAGTTAGAAAATACAATAGAAAACAATTCTCACTTACAAAAATAACAAAAACATAAACAATAATCTGGAATAAACTCAAAAATTATGCCCATGTTTTAAATGAAAAAAACTACAGGACTGTACTGTAGGATAAAATAAGAGGTGTAAATGTAGAGACATCAACATATTGTATGGAGGAAGGCAGTTTTATAAAGATATAAGTTATCCTAAAAATAATTCAAAACTTACTAAAATATCCCATGAAAACTCTTATCTGATTTTCTTTAACTTGAGCAAAATATTTTTGAATTCTTCAGGTATAATAAAGTGATAATACTGGCCAAGAAAATTTGTGATGGAAGAAAAGAATCAAAAACAAATCACACTGTCAAATATTAAATATTTTTTTACAATATGTAAGATATGGTGCTGGAATAAGAAAGGAAGATTGACAGAAAGGAACCATGAGCTCCAAAAGAGACTCTAGTGTGCATAAGTATTTTGTACAGGTGGGATTTCAAATCAAAGAGATAAATATGAATTCAATAATTGTCCTGGGACAATCAGGGAATCACCTGGAAAGAATAAATTCTATTCCTGTCATAATGATGACAGGAAAAATTACAGATAGTAATGTAAATATTAAAAAGTAATAATAACAGTAAATATAACACTTTGCTCATATTAACTCAACTTACCCTCACTATAACAAGTACTATTATCACCTCCATCTTAGAGATTAAAAAACATACAGAAGAGAATTATTCCATTATAAGAAAGTATTTTTAAGAATAATACCAAAGATAAAACCCATAAGGAAGACATTTACTATCTTAAGAATATTTCGGGCCACAACAAAAATAAAAAAACCTACTGAACAAAATGAAAGGCAAGAAATGACAAGAAAAAGCTGCGTGGTACATGTTGATGAAGACAAGGGGTTAATGTTCATAACATACAAAGAGCTGTCATAAAGCAACAATAAGCTCCCTCACTTAACTGTGTGCAAAGAACAAAAGGGATCATTCATTTTTAAAAATTCAAATGGCTAATGAGTGAAAAATGCTCAGTATGTCACTGGCCATCAAATGCAAACTAAAACAATGAAAAGGCACTTTTGCTCATCATATGGGCAAATATTTGTAAAACGTATTCTAGCTAGTGTCCATCTGTGGGAGAACAAACTGTGAGAGAACTTTTTGGAGGACGATATGTCAATAAATGTGTAAACTCTAAAAACCGTGCGTACACACTGACTCAACTCCAGTTCAAGGAATTGTTTCGTTTAGAAAAAAAGAAATCAGCTCAAAAAGATGTACTCATCAGGGCATTTACACAGAGCTGTTTACAATGGTGGGAAGAAAA